TTAATAAAAATTTTGAATTTTTATTTTATAGTAAACACTATTCCAACCAAAGAAAAAAAAGTAGGGCTGAAAAACCAATATTCCTTGTTGATATGCAGTTAAGTTATAAAGTGCAAGAGCATAGCTACAACTAAGAAGTTAAACAGTGAAAACTGCTTTGTTAAATATTAAAATAAAGTGTAGGCTATAAATGATAACATTGCTGATTTTAATTGTTGTAAATAAAAGTACTTTCAAGTGCTAACATTTAAAGAGAAATCTGAAAGATACAAAAGATCTGATCTGAACATACTAAGACAAAGAACATTCTTAGGAAAAGGAAAATAAATGGCTAGTTAATAGTTCCTAAGATCTCAGTTTATTGGAAGCATGACTGGTGAAGAGAAGATTGATACATTTAAAGCTTAGTTGGTAGATAAAGGATTAGTTCTGGCTAGTTTGAAAACTGCAGGAAGAGTCATGAATTTTATTGAATGAAATCCAACAAAAGACTGTAATTCAGTTGAAGAAGAATAACACACTACAAGTTTTATTGCTTATGATATGTTGATTTCAAGTCAGTCTGGGGGAGGGGAACTAAAAAGTGTGGAAAGAACATAAATAAATATTTTGGATGAGATATTGTCTGTTCATAGTTGAGGGAATAATTTATGACTTATATGACTTCTGGCATTTTATAGTCCATTCATGCTATTTCACCATTTCTCTGCAGTAACTGCTCATTCAGACTTTATTGCATTAAAAGGGCCATTGTACCCCAATTTGTCCTGAATCAACTCCCACAGCTGCCACTTCTCCAGGAATGCACTTTGCAAATCAGTTGAAAAGAACTCTTAAACCTCCACAGGATTGTATTCACATTGCCCACATAAAAACTAGAAAATTTCTCTTTAAATAGTATGTCATTTTAAAATACTACTTATAAATGGTTTGAAGGGAAAATTTGGATCATATTTATTTCTTCACAAAACTCACAATGATTGCTTATTAATCAGCTTTTCTGTTACTAGTAAGACAAACAAACACATACATACCAACACACACACACACACACAAATACCTCACACACATAATTTAAAGGAGAAGTTATTTTGGCTCCCAGTTTTAGAGTTTCAGTCCATGGTTGACTGGCTCCAAGGAAGATCATGGCAGGGGGACATGGGGGAGCAAAGCTGCTCACTTCATGATGTTACCAGGTGAGGGTCATGAGGTGCTTGTTTTACAGGTTCTTGGTGTCCTGAATAAAGAACTGAATATAACACAAAGAAAAGTAAATGAAAGTTTTATTATTTACTGAAGGTGGAAAACATTCCACTCTACAGGGCACGAGTGGGCCAGTGAATGTAGAGAACAGGGAAACGGGATGTTACCAGAACCCCTGCAGTGGGTTCTGGTCTCCTGTGAGCCACTACAACACAAAGCTGATAAGAATAAAGATAAGAAACAAGACTTAGAGAAAAAGCTGAGTTTTGGGCCTGATCAGTGTTGCTCTTGGCAACAAAGACAAAGGCACTCTGAACTTGTCACTATTTGGGGGGTTTATAGGGAGTATTAGATGACTCAGAGGGTGGTAATAATCCTAAATTGATGAGGATCTTATAATTGGAGGAAGTTTCAGATGACTCAGAGGGTGACAATAATCCTATGACCATGAGGATCTTATGCAGATGAGGATCTTAGGTCAATAAGAAGCTTATGTTGATTAGAACAGGAAAATGAGCAAATGTTTTTACAACAGTAGGTGGGATGAGTTAAACTGATAAGGAATTTGTCCCTCCCCAGGTGAAACCTTTCTCTTACTACTTGGTTCTCAAGAAACCAGGGTGTCTTCACCTGATATAATCTTGCTCATGAGTGGCATAGCATCATGGGACCATTGAGGCCTCAACTGTGACTGGAGGAAAAATTGGAGTTATGTTTTTACATGTTATAGCTGGCCTGTAGGCAAGAAGACTAAGCCTAATCATAATTCAATTGTGAAACGATTTTTCCCAAAGATTATGTAGAGTGGCTCCTGACAGACTACTATGTTACATTTTTCCTTGTTATATTACAAATCATTTTTTTCAATATCTAGCAAATTCTTGAGGGACTAGAGATCTTCTACTCATTTATATATTTATTAGAGCAGTACATGGTATTTTAATAATAATTGCTAGTAGACCAAACTATTTGCTTATTAAATGGAGATTAAAAATATAATCAATACAATTTAGCATCATTCATATTTTAGCTATATATGCTTATTTCAAGTCCAGTGACTCTTATGGAGCTCTAGACCACTGTTTTGGAGTGGCTGCCAGGTTAAAGCACTGTGGTTGGTGTCAAGATAACTGTTCTAAGTCAGCTTCATGTTGCATTAAAGAGGCAAGCTTATTACACTCGAGGCAATCAGGGAAAACTGAGTGTGGATTGTTCCTAATGAACAGCAGTTTGATTATTTATGCTAAGGGCACTGGATGAGTACTCATACTGTTTGTGTTTTGACTGTTCAACTATTTATCACACAATGACTTCAGCATTTTAATTACTTAAATCTTTCTACAAATAAGAGGGGCAGATGAGAAATCACTCAATTTCTGCTCTCAGTGTTTTCAGCTATGAGCTAGTAACCACTGCACCCTGCAAGACTGGCCTGAAAAATAAGACAATGGGATTTATTGAGGTGAAAAGATTGATGCAGATTTGAGCCTGGAGGGGAGTACTGGAAAACATTCTACAGGTGAAGGCTTACAAGGACTGGAGGATAGACATTGATTAGTTATTCTAGATTGTTTTCTGTTTGTTTAGTACTCCACTCTCCAAAGTGGGAGCCAGATGTGGCTACTGAACTTTAGAAATGTGGCTACTCTGAAATGAGAAGGGACACAAGTGCAAAACACACCATGGATACAGAGTATCAACAAACCAATACTGTTAAAGTGCATGCTGAAATTATAAACAAAGAACAAGTAAAAAACTAGATAAGATGAAGTAAGGAGATAGATGTTTCTCAACTGGAAAGGGGTCAAGAGATGGGGGAGGAAAAGGGGATGAAAAAGGAGTTAAAATGTATTATGTCCATGTGTTAACTCCATTCAAGGAATGGAAACAGTAAGTACTGCACACATCTACTCATAGTAAAATAAAAAAATAGTAATCTTCTGGATATGCTATGTATAGTGCACTTCATTGCCTGATTCAGTCAGTAGGTAGATTTCTTTTGACTTTTTGATCTTGGATATTAGAAAATTCACATATATGTGGTGTGCATTAAATGGGAAGTCACTGCTATAGTAGTATTGAAATTAACTGAAAATTATAGCTGTCATGAAAAGTTATTTTTATTTGTTTTAACACTTAGAAAATATCTTGTTTTCTTTCACTTTTTAAGTTATTTGTTTTCATTTTGAAGATTTGGTTTTGCTTTGTTTTCAGTACTGGAAATTGAACCTGGGTCCTTTGCACTAAGCTAAAGCCCTCAGCTGCTTTTCTTTTTCTTTTTCATTGTTTTGTCTTTGGGGAGTTTGTTGTTGTTGTTGTTGTTGTTGTTGTTGTTGTTGTTTCAGACCTGGTCTCTCTAGTACACTAAATTACCTAGGTTTGGATACAAAATTACAATCCTGCCTCAGCCTCTCAGAGTCCTAATATTACTAGCATGTGCCACCATATCTGGCTCTTTTTTTTTTTTATAAGACAACACAGTAAGAATGAACAAGGGAACTGTCAAAATAATAATTAATTTATTTTCGTGAAATATTCTTGAGCTTTTCAGTATACACTAATAACAATTTGAAATTTATTACAAGACAGTGATTTACTGGGAATGTGAAAACTAATAAAAAATCAGAAAGCATTTATTAGCTATTTTAACTCTATAATATTCATTTTAGAACATTTGTTTTGCTGAGAAGAAAAACATTTATATAATGTATTTAAATTATGCTAAAACAATTTTGTTTCTAATATTTGATACATGAACACTGCAAAACAATGTTGGAATTTGAATAATATTTCTCTTATACTGAATAATCTTTTTAACATTCTCAGTGAAAAATGAGAACAATCATTATTTTGTAACTAGCATATACTAGGGGGCCGGGAATTTAGCTCAGTGGTTTCGCCGCCTGCTGCATGTATTAATTAGCTATTCCATTTTATACAAACAAAATCCCTATATCAGTATTGGAATAAAGCACTAGCTGCTATCTGGTGACTCTAGACAGATTTCGTGAATCTAATGCTATATACAAGTACATCTATACCAAGAACTCCAGTGAAATCCATTATATTCACTTTCCAGTTTATTTTAGGCATCAACAAATTTCAGAAGTAATGAATTATTTTCCAGATATCATAATTGTGTTGTACATTGCATTTGGCTCAAATCTCAATGGTAAGAGACCTAATGTAATAAAGATAGTTAATATTTAACTAAACTTCATTTTTGTTGTTGGGTTTTTTTGTTTTGTTTTGTTTTGTTGTACCAGGGATCGAACTCTGGTCCTTCCGCTTGCGCAACAGGCAAGGAAACCACTGAGCTAAATCCCCGCAACTTCACTTTTTTTTAGATGGGCTCTTGTTGCATAGTTCAGACAAGCTTTGAACTCACCATATATTCCAGGCTGGCCACAAAGTCACAATGATCCTCCTGTCTCAGTCTCCTGAGTGCTGGGATCATAGGCGTGTGCCACCATGCCCAGCTAGACTTCAATCTTTGACAATGATTTGATGTAATTATTAACTTGAGCCTCTAAACACTGTTATCTGGTAAGAACTGTTGTTATCATGTTATAGAAAAGGAGTTAAGGAACAAACGTTTTATATTCTGCCTTTTGTTTTAAAGTCAGAATTCACAGAAGTAATTCTACTTGAAATTATTTTGTAAATGCTAATAAGTGCTAATTGAGTTGGACATAGTATAAACCAAATAGGTATCTCAATTATTGCTCATTATATACTTTATTAATGCTTTATTTAATGATAAATATGTTCACATTTTTGTTTACTAAATACCATGTCATGTTATGTGATATCATATTTGTGTGGGGGACAAACTAATGTATGATCCTTGGGAATTTCTATTATCTAGTAGAAATTTTAGATAACATTTACAAGTGATTCTTTGGCAATAAATTACTAGTGATTGTTATTTTTCAGCATGTAATGTGATGTTATATAAGTAAACTATTGTAATTTGAATTTATAGACCTATAGTGAATTAAAGATTATGTTCTTTCCTCTCTCACCTTTCCCCTTCCTTTACATGTTAGCTTAATTAGAAATTGTTTTATAGCTGTGTCAGAATTGTTAAAATATTTAGAGCTTTAAAATATTAACCAGGAATCATTACACATTCATTTAAAGACTTTCTGACTAACCAACATGAAGGGAAGTGAAAAATGAAATATTTCCCATAAAGTCATTGAAAGAAAATAAAACTACTATAAAATATCCATTATATGAAATGAATCTTCTGGTTCTCTGGGCTTGAACTTATCAACCTGATTTATGATGAACATTACTTTGACTTTTTAAATTAAAATTGCATAATTTTCAATTACAGAGTTTTAACTAACTTTAAAATTTAAACCACTAATTAACCAAACTCAAACATCAAATTTCTAATGCATTAGGAAATTTAATCCTACATCAAAAATGTACATGGAAAAAAAAATGTACATGGATAAACTCCAGTTTAAACATCATTCATTAATACTGAGGTGATCAATTGACTTTAATTCTTAATTCAGATTGTTTTTCTATGATTTTTTTCTTTGTATTCTATTCAATAATAAGTACATTTTATTTTAAATGTAAAACAAATAATCTTAATATGTGCCTTTTCCTATAAATATCGACATGTCATTTGTGATGTTTTTATTCCAAAGCAAATAATAAAAGGGAAAAGATCAACCATGTAATGAATAACAATTATGTTCCAGGGATTTTCAAATACCTCACAGTATTCCATCCCCACAAACAAATGTACCCAGCTACGAGTATATTACTATGATCTGTATGTCTCTGTTTCCCAAAACTTGTTAAATTATAATCATAGCCCCTAAGGGGATGGTATAAAGATGTTGGGCTTTTAAGAAGAGATTCATTCATGGGAAGATAGTATTCTTATAAAAGATCTCCAAGGGGGCTTGTTTCTCCACCAAATGAGTTCTCAGCTAGAAGGGACCATATATGAGGAATGGGCCCACATCATATGGGGAATCTGATGGTGCCTTTACACTTTACCTCTTTTTTTTGTCATTCGTAGTCCTTGGGAAGTAAATTCAATATTTGTCAAGACTAAGGCCAAATTAAAAATTAAACTCGAATCAATAGAATGGCAATGGTGACATGGTGCCTTCTGTTTATGTCATGTGGTCACTTCAAATATCTTTGAGTATTTCCTAATCCAACCCCATCTCTGTCTCTTACCTCAAATCCCTGGTCGGTTTGCATGATGGCTACCCTGCAGAAAGGGCTCTCAATCCTCTTCTCCAGACTTCCACTTTCATTCTTGTTCTAATAGAAACCTGTGTTATCCCTCGAGGACACTACTTCCCCAAGTGTATTATTTTCCTAATTTCTGCCTTATTGAGATATTCTTGGCATACTATAAACCACACATATTTAAAGTGCACAATTTGAAACGTTTTGAATAAGACTACACTTGTGGATAAATTGTCACAATCTAGATATAAAACATCACTATCATTCCCAAAAGTTTCTCCAAGCCCTTAAAATTATTAACCTTTCTATACAAAAATTCACTTCCTTTTGGGGGGCAATCCCTGATCTGATTTCTGTCAGTTGAGCTTGTTCTAGCTTAGTAATTGTTTTTATTTTTCTGTGTAGTCTTATTATCACTGGAGCTTGGAGCAGCTTAATTATTGCCACTTTCTGGTATTCCATCTCCCTTCTCTTTCTCCTGACTGTTTAGATGTCCCTTTCATTTGTCCAGAAGTGTTCCTCAAAAAATCTCAACTTGTCTTTAATATCCTGGTATTTACAAATAGCTTTTTGAGATCCAAAGTGAGCCAAGAGCATGGATTCTGCCATCCTTAGAGCTTCTGAGACACGTGGTGTTGTAGGTTGCCGTCCGCACACCCAGCTGAGGCTCTTCTGGACTGAAATGCATCCTCCCCTCTCCCATGACTCCTCTCAGATCCGGTCATGAAATTGCTAAGTCTCATGACCCACTGCTGCTAATCCCGTGCCTTTCTCGGGCTCACCTATTGCTTAACGGATGATTTCCAGACACAGTAACATACTTTATCAAACTTCATGTATTTTTCTGGCCATATACTTGAACTGTATGTCATTTTTCTACTTTCAATGTACGCTTTTACCTTTATAGCCTTAACAGTTGAGGAAAGAACTCTGAAATTGTAAAATTTTAACTGTTGACTTTTAGGAGCAAATTTTTGTTTGAAATTTGATGTCACTCTCCGCCTTGGTATTTTAGTTAATAACTGAGAGACACTTGTCAAGATATCATTTGAAACATGGTATCTCGAGATAAGCATTTTATACCATTGTTTTGTGTGGACTGTGGGCAATTCAACAGTTCTCTCTCTTTTAAAAGTCAAGAGGAATGTGACAAAAGGTGGTTTTTTTGATCCACAGGTGCTCTATTTAAACACCCTCCTTAGTCATTCCTGTTTATGCTACCTATGCAGCCTGTGTGCACTCATTGGCTCTTACCACATATGGTTACAGGAACAGAGTCTATTGTACCAATGTAAATAGTACTTCGTTTACAGTGACACTGGGCCTGATGTTGACTTAAAATACTGCCTTGAAGTTTTCTAATGATTAACTAACTTGCAAACGTTTTCTTGAAGGCAGAGAAAAAATACTTCAAGGATTACACAAAATAATTTATTGTATACTTAAAAATAAGTTAATTTTCCTTTGTAAGAAAACAAATAGTAGTCTTATAAAGTTTATATGACTTTCACTTCTAAATGAGAAATTAATTTTATTGTATGCTCAAGAAAAAGAGTGTAGTAAAAAAGGGTTTTAGGTCTCTTTCATAACATGAAACTAATTCAACTTAATAAGGGAATAATTGTCCCTCTCCATTGCTACATGTATTACCTAATTAGAGAATGAGGAAAATGTCACAGCAAAGAGAGTGACATTTGCTTAACAAGAAATCATTAACGACATGTCCATTCCCATTGAGCTTAGAAAAAGCGATAGAGTTAAACATGTCTGATAAACCACATTTATTCTTTGGAGCTAAAATGATTTGAAGCTTCTAAGAACAGTTAATTACCAAAAAAATAATAGGATGAAATTTCATAAATAATTATATTTTCATTCACTTCTCATCTCTATGGAGATTATAAACAAGATTGAGATTTCTACAGTAGGCCTTACTCTGCTATGTCTAATATTAAAAATTTGGCTGGGGATTTACCTCAGTAGTTCTGCTGCCTGCCTTGAAAGTACAAGGTCCCAAGTTTGGTCCCCGGTACCAAAAAAAAAACAACTGAGTTTTATATATATATATGCCCATTTTAATTATTATACATTGAAATTCTTTTCCAGGTGCTTTGTGAAATTCTTTTTATTAGTACATGTTTGCAGTTCATAATAATTACATTCCTTAGGCATAGGGGAAAAGAAAGAAGCGAATGGAATTAATATGAGAAAAAGAAAAAAATGGAAACAAAGTCTTTGTAGATAGGGAGGGGTGGAGGAGTTGAAGGGAAGGTAGAGGAATGGGGAAAAAATAAGAACCAAGAAGGATTATTAAAAGTGCAAATTTCCACTGATGAATGTCATTGTATTGTACACCTTAAATGTACCAATTAATAAAAAATGAAAAAAAAATAATTACATTCCTTGTGTGTAGACGGTCTATGTGTATAGCACATTTTAATTTCTTTATTCAGCCCTCACCCCTCCCTCCCCTTCCTACATGCCTTGTTCTCCTTCCCATTTGAGAAAGATCTAAATCTCTACTTCTGATCATCTATATTTTACTGTGTTCCTCATTTCAAATTTGGGGTTCTCAGATAAGAGAAACAATGTGATATTGAAGTTTGTGTGTCTGATTTACTTCATTTAATATTACAGTCTCAGGTGCTTTTATTAATATCAGTGATCATGTATAAAATTATAGTTAGCAGAATGTATACTTTCCCACATTTATTTGTTGTTTTTGAACAATATAAATTATGCTTTAAATTTGACATATTTGTTCATTGTAATAAAGTGGATTACCTGAATAAATTGTGTAAAAGATTTTCTTTTAAACCACAATTAATAAATAGCTTGTCTTTTGCTGCCATTCCATGCTCCTAGGGCAGAGAAGGTGAGCCGAGTGGGTGCTAGAACCCCCCTCCCCCCTGTAGAAATGAGAAGACACATAAACAGGCCTCAGAAATAGACTTCCAGATCACTTACAACAACTTCAATGGGAAACAAGATGGAACAATCTGATATTCAACCACCTGGACTCCCTGAACTGGCAACAAAAGAGGACCTAGAAAAAATGAAATAATTTCTCAGATAACAGAAAAGATGGGGGCCATAATGCAAGACATGATTCATAAATCTAGAGAGGACACAGATAAAAAAGAGAGGATCTGAGGAACATGATGGAATCCCAACATAGGAAACAAATGGAATCCATAAAACAGATGCAAACAGATT